ATGGGATGCCTCGAGATTGTGCTGATTTTTAAAGGGTGCTTTGACTGGAAAAAAAGGTGGAGAAACACTGCACTAGAGCATGTAATAAATCAGGGGTTAATTGAGATAAAAAAATAAATAAAAATACAAAGTGGGCACAAATAAGCAGGTATATTAGACATAATATATCAAATCACTTACAATTATCATTAAGGTATCAGTACCATTTGGCAGTGTCTAATTGATATTGTCCTAGAAGGTCCATCTCGAACCAGATGACCCGGACTCACAGGGAGCCAGAGCAGAGACACAGCGTGGCCAGCGACACACCTCCACAGCCCACCCCCTATCATTTAAAAGTTGAAAAGATATAAGACAAAAAACAGTGCATTCTTCAATTCAATGTTAAATTCAAGGTTGATTACCTCTTTTACTACTTATTATGAGGGTGCCATAGAAGTGGACAATGATAAGAGTCGTGCGTGGGAGGAGGAGACCAGGGAGCTAGAGAGTAGGAGGTCTTGTGAGGAGCGAAGGGCACGGGTAGGGTGGTATTTGGGTATCAGGTCAGTGAGGTAGTTTGGGGCAGCGTTGTGAATGGCTTTGTATGTCAGAGTTAGTAATTTGAATTTAATACGTTGGGCAATCGGGAGCCAGTGAAGGGATTGGCAGAGGGGAGAGGCAGATGTGAAGCGGTTGGTGAGGTGGATGAGTCTAGCCGCTGAGTTCAGGATAGACTGGAGTGGGGATAGCATTTGTTTGGGTAGGCCAGTGAGAAGGGAGTTGCAGTAGTCCAGGCGTGAGATAATGAGGGAGTGTACAAGTTGTTTAGCAGTGTCTGGGGTGAGGAACGTACGTATCTTGGAGATGTTGCGGAGGTGAAGCCTGCATGACTTTGATAGTGATTGGACATGAGGTTGAAATGAAAGGTTTGAGTCCAGGGTGACACCCAGGACTTTGGGCGTGTGGGTTGGGATTGATGGTGGCGTTGCTAGTCGTGATGGAGAGGATATGGGGGGGGGGCGTGGGCTGGGGGGAAAACTAGGAGCTCGGTTTTGGACAGGTTTAACTTGAGGAAATGGAGCGACATCCAGTCTGATATGTCGTTCAGGAGGTGGGCGATGTGGACGGAGCGAGAGGGGGTGAGGTGAGGGGTGGAGAGGTAAATTTGTGTGTCGTCGGCATAGAGGTGATAGTTGAAGCCGTGGGAGTGTATCAGTTTGCCAAGGGAGGAGGTGTAGATGGAGAAGAGGAGGGGTCCGAGGACATAGCCTTGGGGGACTCCAACAGAGAAGGAGAGAGAGGGGGAGGTGGCAGCGTTATAGCGAATGCTGAAGGAGCGTTGGGATAAGTAGGAGGAGAGCCAGGAGAGAGCAGCGTCCCTGATGACAAAGGAGTGCAGTTTAGTGAGGAGGGGGTGGTCGACGGTGTCAAAGGTCGTGGAGAGGTCGAGGAGCAGGAGGACTGAGTAGTGGAAGAGCAGGAGGGCTGAGTAGTGGGGAGTACTTGCCCACAGTCCTGGGGAGTGTACCCCAGGACTGTGGGCAAGATCCCATACCTAAATGTTGAATGGTATAAAAAGAACACCACAATTTTAATTGATTGATGTATAATATTGCAAGCAGCAACTGGTTCGAGATGTGTTCTATTGTACAATAATATCTTTTTTGTTTTAGATGGAATTTGCAATAAATCTGTTTTTATTGATTTTTCAAAATCAATTTTTTGACATAACTGTGGATACAGATTTTCTTGTATAGCCTCTCTTGATCAATATATGAGCACAAGAAGCAGGAAGAAGTGACCCCAGCCTGGATTTTGATATGTGCACAGAGTGCTCCAAGATTCTAGGCTGTGATGCGCTCTGAAAGACAGGCAGGCAGGCACCAACCACTCAAGCATCTACAAGGTATTTTTGGATAGAATTTGTTTCTTTTAGCATTTATTTTAAGTTTGTAACAAGAATAAAAATAGTTATTCACAGGAGGTGCACGTTATAGTGGTATTAAACCGAAAAGCGAACACTTATTACACTGTAGTTTACCAATTCTTAGATGTGATGGTAGCATTAGTTTTCATTTTTTTTTGGCTCTCTTCTATTTTCATCTGGTGATTCAGCCAGCAACGTTGCTGTGTTTCAGAAGCTCAAGCTCTCAAGCAGAATGTATCGGTTCATATGGATGAGACAAACCATTTACCACTGCCAGTAGTGATTAAAATGATCAGCTTTTATTTATTCATGTAAAACCTTTATCCCCAAAGGTAAAAAATGTTTGCTGTAATGGATTATAAAGTGTTAGCTGGAGTGTGGCTTCAATTTACTATTTGAATTCAAATTTGTTAATACATTTAACACTCCCATCCCCTTAGACTGACAATGCCGCTGTCTGCCGTGTCCTGGCTCATTCTTCTAGGAGTTGTGTCTCACTAATACAGGAGGTATGTTACTAGCCAGATCACCAGGTGAAAATAGAGGGGGAAAAAAAGTCAAAGAAAAGAAAACTAATGTGGCCACCACATCTGATTGTTAAGCTGAAATATTTAACATTTTTGGTTTGGGGGTTTAATACTGCTTTAAAGCTGAAGTTCAGCTACATGAAAAAAGATCTCTACAGCTTTAGTCACCTCACCAACCTATGCAGGCAGCAGGATCCTGGAGAAATCTTCACTGCAGGGATGCCCTGTCTTCTTTTTGAATGCTGTCTTCTTGTCTTTGAACTTCTGGTGCTGAAATGGTTATCAGCTTTGAATTTTCAGGCATAAACAGCAAAACAGAAAATGTATAATATATAGGGCGAGCTTTTTAGAGCCCAACCTCTGTAGCTGGTGCCAGATGGGTATCAGGGATGGATGGGAGCAATAACACTGAGGCAGCTCTTCTTAGGGTAGAAGCAAGGCTTTAATGCAGTAAAACATGAAAAAGAGAGGAAGGCACCTTTAAGTGCAGTATAGACAATTTATTAGTGATCAATAGATGAATTGCACTTACAATACTTACAAGATAAATAGTTAAACAGACTCATCGTGTGGTGTGTTAAGATCCAGGTAAGGCATCCAGCCTCACACTTCCTGATCCCATGGACCGAGTTGCCGCTGGATGGCTGGATGCCTCACCTAGATCTTAACACATCACAGATGGTCTTTTCAACTATTTATCTTGTAAGTGTAATTCATCTATTGTTCACTAATAAATTGTCTATACTGCACTTAGGAGGCGCCTTCCTCTCTCTTTCATGATAACAGCAAAACAGATGATCCAACGGGGGAGCCACCTCCTCCTCCCCTACTAAGTAAAGATCTTTCTAGAATTATACGGTCTGTAAATGGGGGGGGAGAGCTTGGCGAGTCATAGGGTGTTCTCCAGCATTCACAGATAGTGTTAAAGGAAGTGAAATCAATGAAAGAACTCTTTTTAATGGAGGAGAAGGGGGGAACAGGTCCCTGTTGGACCAACTGTACTGCTTTATTGCCTGTGAAACTGAAGCAGTTAACAACTCCAGTCCCAGAAGTTTATAGACAAGAAGAGGACGGGGTATCCCTGCAGTAAAGAGCTCTTCAGGATCCAGCTCCCTACATAATTTGGGGTATCCTTCATTACAGGTAATTTTTGTGACTAAACTGTAGGGATTGAAGTACACCACCAACCAATACATCTACAGGAAAGCATGACTGAGTTCAGACATTTTTAAAGGCAACTGCCATGCCCACTTTACCAGACAAAAATTATGTCATTTGACAGATCAGGCAGAATTGATAGATTTATCACTAGTGCCACAGTTTAAGCATTTTAAACTGTCACAGCTGTGCTTTGGATCCTGTTGGATTGGGTTAACCTACTTTTATTTTCTGAAATATACATTTTTCTAACGTGGTCAAACAAACAACATTCACAAATGGTAGAACTGGTGTTACTATGGCAAAAACAAATCAATGTGAAAAAAAAGCTAGGATACGAAAGCTATAATGAGCCTCTAACAAGTTACAGTCTGCTTTTAAAGCCATATAAGCTAAAATTCACTCAGCCACAGCTCCAAACTTTGTTGACACCAGATGAGATTCAGTAAGCTTTGCCATATGTTTCAGCGTGTCAGAAAATTTTTGTCAGGGGCTTGAAAAATGGACAGTACAGGAATTAAATCAGTACTCCAAGCAAACAGATAATTACAGAGGTGAAATGCATACATTGAAGCTATTTTACCTCATAAATGATTTGTATTCCTGTCCATCTGGTCCTTATATGTACACAGCTCTGTTACATAGTGAGCCCTCTGTCTGTCAGGGTAGAAGACCTAATTAATCTCTATTGTGGTTAAAGCAGAATTAAAACCTAAACAAAAAACACACAAACGCATACACACATATATTTAGCTTTCCAATTCTTTGATGTGGTTGCTGCATTTCTTTTCTGTTCTTAGACTTTTTTATTTTATTTTTACCTGGTGACCTGACCAGTAAGTCTGTTATTTTTCAATTTCTTTTAACCACTAGCCTACAGGGCACTTATACCCCCTTCCTGCCCAGGCCAATTTCCAGCTTCCATTCATGCAACATTGTACCCATATGAACTTTTTATCATTTTTTTGAGACAGACAGAGCTTTCTTTTGGTTGTATTTAATGACCTCTGGGATTTAAATTTTTTCTTAAACAAACCAAAAACCACTGAAAATTTTGAAAAAAAAAGTTTTTTCTTAGTTTTTGTTATACACTTTTGTAAATAAGTGATTTTTCTCCTTCACTGATGTGCGCTAATGAGGCTGCAGTGATGGGCACTGATAGGTGGCACACTGATGAGGAGGCACTGGTAGGTTGCACTGATGGGCATTGACAGGTATCACTAATGGGCACTGAAAGGCAGCACTGATACATGACACTGATATATGGCACTGACTGGTACTGATAGGCGGCACTGACTAGCACTGATAGGCGACACTGACTGGCACTGATAGGTGGCACGGATTGGCATTGATGGGTGACATTGAAAGGCAGCTCAGATGGGCACTGATATATGTGGCATTGATGTGGCACTGATGGGCACTGACAGGTGGCACTTCTGGGGCCACACTGATCATCAGGGCACACTGATCATCAGTGCCCTGATGATCAGTGTACATGTCCCTTCCACGGAAAGCCGATTACCGGCTCTCCTCTCGAGCTGTCAGCGTGACAGCTCAAGAGGAGAGAAATGCCGATAACCGACATTTCCCTGTTTACATGTGATCAGCTGTGATTGGACACAGCTGATCACATGACCGAGCCGACATCTTTGGCTCTTTCAGTGATCCGCTGTGTCCGAGGGACACAGCGCACCAGCGATCGCCACGCATGCGCAGTGAGAATGGTAGGACGTCATATGACGTCCTATCAGAACGAGAGAACCACGTTGCGCCCGTCATTGTACTATAGGGCAGGCGGATGGTGGTTAATAGATCAAGCTGTCCAGCAAAGGTGTCAGAGGGATGAAGGAAACCATTTGACACTTGCTTACAATGATTAGCTTTCATTTATGTAAAACATTCATGACAAAAGAAAAGAAAAAAAAACGGTTTGCTGAAACTGCCGTAAAAATGTTAGCAGGAGTTCGGCTTTTATTTGTTAGTCATCTATATCTACTAGTGCACAAGTGATTGTAAAGGTCTTTTTCTTATAAAATAACAAACAGGTTTATACTTGCCTGGTATTGCAAAGAGCACCCCCCGAACCTCCTCTTGTGGGGTCCCCACAGCAGTGCTCTCAGCTTATCCTCCTCTTGGTACATACCCCTAGGAAGCACCTGCAGACTCGCTCCTGAGCCAGGCTGTGTGCATCTATAAACACACACAGTGTGGCTCAGCCCCGCTTTGATTGACAGCAGCAGGAACCAATCTTTGTTTTGGGGTTTAATACCACGTCTTGTCCCTCCCCCAGCCTGTGACTGAGCAGTGAAAGAAGAAGCAGCAAACTGATGAGCTCATCTCTGTCACTATGTTCTTGCCTCCTATCAGGATGTTCCTGGTTAGAATACAGTATGAATACTGTATGAGCACTGCAGCACAAATGATTGACTCTTTGTTATGCGCCTCTCTCTTGCTCTGCTAAACGGGATTGCAAGAGGCTGATACAAGGTTGAATTCAGGTACTTACATTTAAAAAAAATACATTTAAATGATTTTTAAGTGTTAGAGGCCTGCATTAATTTTGTATGCAAGTTTTTTTTTATAAAGTTGAAACAAGGTGAAATATTACCCCTTTCGCTGTAGGTGCCCTTGTATTTACAAATGACTATAGAAGTAATCGATATAGGTGTATTCTATGTTTATACTGTATATTTACATTGTATCACTGAAACCTTTTTATCTACTTGGATGTCAAGCACTTTAACTACCTGCCGACCGCAGATAGCCGAATGACGGTTGCACTGCGGCCGGCCAGTTCTGGGTGGACGTCATATGACGTCCTCCCAGAACGCGCTCTCCTGCGCGCCCCCAGGGGGCGCGCACCCGGCGATCTCCGTGATCACTGTGTCCTACGGACACAGCTGATCACGTGACGTGGTAAAAGGCCAATCACAGCGGCCTTTTACCACGTGATCAGCTGTGTCCAATGACACGCTGATCACCGGGAAATGTAAATGCCGGTTCTCGGCTGCACTTTCCTCACGCTGTCAGAGCGTGAGGAAAGTGCTGCCGAAAACCGGCAGTTGTCAGAGCGGGGATTGGCACTGATCATCAGTGCCCTGATGATTGGTGCCCAGCAGTGCAACACACAAGTTCCGCCCACCTGTGCCCAGCAGTGCCACCCACCTGTGCCCAGCAATGCACCCACCTGTGCCCAGCAGTGCCACCCACCTGTGCCCACCCACCTGTGCCCAGCAGTGCCACCCACCTGTGCCCACCCACCTGTGCCACCCACCTGTGCCCACCAGTGCCACCCACCTGTGCCCACCAGTGCCACCCATCAGTGCAGCCCAGCAGTGCTGCCAGTCAGTGCCACCAGTCAGTGCCCAGAGGTTGTGCCAGTCAGTGCCAAGCAGTGATGTCAGTGCCACCTATCAGTGCTGTCTATCAGTACCCATTATCAGTGTCACCTATCAGTGCCACCAATCAGTGCCGCATATCAGTGCCCCCTATCCGTGACACCTCATTAGTGATGCCTATCAGTGCAGCCTATCCGTGCCACCTCATTAGTGCTGCCTATCAGTGCCGCCTATCAGTGCCCTTCAGTGCTGCCTATCAGTGCCCATCAGTGCCGCCTATCAGTGCCCATCAGTGCTGCCTCATCAACGCACATCAGTGAAGGAGAAAAATTACCTGTTTGAAAAATTTTATAATAGAAACAAAGAAACTTTTTTTTTTTCAAATTTTTTTGCACTTTTTTTGCTTATAGCACAAAAAGTAAAGTGCCCAGCAACGATTAAATACCACCAAAATAAAGCTCTATTTGTGAAAAAATGATAAAAATTTTCATATGGGTACAATCTTGCATGACCGCGCAATTGTCATTCAAAGTGCGACAGCGCTGAAAGCTGAAAATTGGCCTGGTACATAAGGGGGTATAAGTGCCCGGTAGGCAAGTGGTTAATATAAAATCTATTTCCCTTAAGCCAGATATAACATAAAAAGAGCCCACCCTGGCAACAGGAACTTCAGAGAAACAGATTTTCCTGTTACAGTACCCCATGGATGTACCTGGTATGTCAATAGCACAAGCATACCAGAGGCCCTGAGCTCTGTCAGCATTGGGAAGCTTAGCCAGCCTGCTCAGTCTATGTAAATAGGAATTTATTATGAGTGTCCAAATTACAGACTGTGGCGTTTACTACAAATTAGTATATACGAAATTTTCTACTAATCCTTCCCTATAAAAGATTGTCTTTTGTTTTTCCGTTTCAGAAAAAGGTTAAAGTTCATCTTCTTTGTTCTGCTGTAGTACTGAAACACTATTTTTAAGTATCTCTGTACTGAATATAAACATATTACATTTTTCTACAGATGTAATCAGATTTATAATTGGTTGTAAACCTCACAGATGAAATATGAACAAAGCATATCCCTCGAAAGTGTGTATTTGTCACAATTAAGAGCACCAAATGTAATTTCGGTCTGCTGCTTCCTTCTTCTGCTATCTGCATGAGTCACTTCTGACAAGTTTTCCTGACATGGAGAAAAGTAGTGATGGGGAGGGACCTTCAGCAGACTGCCAAACTCATCTCTGTTCCTTTGAACAGTGTGGAGGGGGTGTCTCTCTTCCCTCCAATCAGCTTTCAGAGCTCTCCTCAATGAGCTCTGCAGAGTGCAACTTCAACTTTCTGCCCCCTTTATTCTGACAGCTCATACAAGATTTATAAATTCAGCACTTTGATAGTCTATAGAAGAGAGAAGACAGCAGATAAAACAGGTACAATTTATTCAAGAGAATTTGTTTAATCTCTGTGCATCACATGAGGCCAGTCACTTCACTGATTATATGCAAGGGTTTATAACCACTTCAAAATGTATAGGATTAAGAGAATTAAAACAAACACCTTTTCTTCAAAAACCTTAAGAGTTGATTCACACATATGCAATGTAGATTAAGCTCAGGTTTCAAAATGAACAGTGGTTATTCAGCAATTCAGGTCAGGTTTACATCAGGTTCAGGACAGGATTAGGTCTGGATTTTATCCTGTTCACACATATGCAGTTTAGAAACAGTTCCCATAGAAGATAATAGCCTGTAATCCACAGGTGAACCTGACAGCACTGCTCACAAATCTTACATGACTCTTTTTCATCTCACACTGAATCCACACTTCCAGAGCACCAGACATGTGAACAGGCACCATAGGAAGCAATGTTATTTCACATGTCATGCGGATTGGATGGGGTTCAAACTGCACCCAATCTGCATATATGTGAACCAGCACTAAAGCTGAACTCCACAAGATAGACAAAATCTACTGTTGCAGTCAACCTCCCCTTCTCCCTGCGCTGCAAGGGTTAAATGCACATTTAGTCTAGGGATGCAGGGATAAGGTGTAATACTTGCCTTATCCCTGGCTCAGTCAGGCTTCCTCGATCAATGCCTTGGTCACATGCTTGCCTTCTTCACATACACTGCAGGGTTAACAGTACTGCATTGTACGCGATGATGTCAAGGGACCACCAACAGACCAGATCTTCAAGCAGAAGAAAACAGCCTAAACATATTTATGTACACATTTTTATAAAACATATACGGTCCTCTGACCAATATCTTGCTAAACCCTTTAAAAAAGAAAGCATACATTTTCCCCGGCTTTATTAATATACTATGTTTTGGTACTGTATATTATATTTATTACCCTCCCTAGCGGTATGATTATGTCAATATTTCTGTGCTCAAAGCAGTAAATTTTTTTGTATGGAAATATGTATTTTTTTTATTGTAGGCCTGTAATTCTTAGGAATAACTCACTGAAATCTGTCCAAACAAGAGTCTAGTAAAAATCCTGGGTATGATAAAACTTGAAACACGAAAGTATAAATTATAATATAATAATAATAAATTTAATTCAATAATATAATCAAACCAAAAACACTGAAATTTGAAATATAGCGCCAAGTTCGCACATTGCTGAGCTTAGTCGCAAAATTGTTTTCAGTGTCTGATGACGAATTTCCCCACGAATCATTATCACTCAATTCTTTTTAAAAAATTTTAATTTCTTGCCGGTTCCGGCCCCCGTACGTCCCGACGCTCGCAGGGAATGGAAGACGAATGCTGGCATCGGCCGGAGGACATTGCTAGAGACGCTGCAGGGGAGACATCGCGGGAGCACAGGACAAGGTAAGTGAAACAGGGATCCCGGAGCAACGCTGCAGGGTAATCCCGAGTGTAGATTGGGGTTACCGCTTTTGGCACTGATAATTAACCACGAGCTACACTCGGGAATACCACCAGGGAGGTTAATCTGATGATAAATTTTATGTGTTTGATAATTATTTACAAATAATGCTTCACTGTACATTTATAATCATATTTGTGTCATAATTACAAGTGACATAATGGCACAATATCTTTTCCACTTAGCAGGGATTTACTGTGCCTTTTACCTCAGTACAAATATATGGGCAAGCTCTGACTAACTAGAGGTGTATGTAGCTTTTTCTGAAACTAATTTATCTCAGTAACCAGCCCCAACAAGCCACAAGGGTCAGTGTGGTAGCCAGGCAACTAGTATTCTCAGAGAGAGGTCAGCAATGGCCACCCCTGCAATTCTCCCATGACAAGTGTAGTTTAATAGTGCAGTCACACCTATGCTTGCAATTTTAATGTGCATTTCAGGTGTTGAAGCATCTCTGTGTTCACACATACTTTCCCTACAGACCTATGTGGACTGTGGACACTGGACTGGGTCTGAATATGCAAATAATCTTTTTTTGCAACATGACTAGTGTCCTCTTCATGGTTGATGTAGGCCGGCCACGGTTATGGCATTGTCCGACTTGCCCTCACAATTGGGTCCAGTGTTGCAGAGACAACCAAAACGCCCTGAGTTCAAGATATTGATGTGAAAGAAGGCTTCCTCTGGCAACCAAATCCTCAATACTGCATGGGAATCCAGGACTCCTCCCCAACCTGATAAGCTAGCACCCACTGAGAGAGCTTTCCATGTGTTTAGAGGAAAGGGCTTCCCCAATTCTAGAGCCAGGTTAGAAATCCAATATACCAGAGAGAGAGAGTCTGACCTTCTGGGTCAGACTTGTGGGATGGTCTATGGACCAAGTTTATTTGTCCCACGCTTCCAGAATGTTCATATGAAACGATTTGGAGTGAAAATGGATATATGGAACAGAATCGAAAGCGTCAAACTGTAGACCCACGACTCGCAATTCAGGCAAGAAGTGAGGGTCTCCTTGGAGAGTGGAGAGACAGAAGTTTGCACTGTGGCAGGAAGATCACGGGCAGGGCCACTTCTAATGTCACTCTAATCTGATGACTTCCAAAGGCTGAAAATCAAACCAAAGCTTTGCATAGTCTGGATTGCCTGCCAGATATTGGCCGACAGAGTTAGGAGGGACAAGCGAGAGACTGTTCATGTACCTACTGTAACGATTGTGCGCAACAGAGACACAAAGTTGTAGCGACATGCCATCTTGTTAAGGTCTCAGCCTTTTGGTTTCATGAGCAGTGTTCCTACACCCCCCCCCCCCCCTTCCTCATGAACACTATGTAATTTGTAGCTGTAACTTTTAACAAACTTCAAAAGAACCTCTTATCTTAATTAAAACACAGAGCTGGCCAGCTAATGTAGTTTAATTAACAGGATGTCTGTTTCCACGAACCATGAAAAACACTTTCCTCTGCCCTGTCGTAAAACAATAATAACTCAGTCAAGCAGTCACATATGGAGTGTAAGGCCATTAAGGCTCTAGGAATGCAGAGCATGTCACAAAACATCTATTCCACAACTTAACAATTCCACCTACAATTCATAGAATTCAACAGGAACGGGACACATTTATATTAGGTATATATTTGAATGGGGAATATCTTACTGAACAAATCAAGGTCACAAATGAAAGGAAAGAAAGCAGTCTCCTGCCTGCTGGGTGACAAGGTACGCTGTGTTTGATATCCCTGGATACGAAATAAAGTTCTGAATATTAATCTACCAGTTGCTAGAATACCTCCTGCACGTATTGGAGGTTATTAATATTAGTGTAAAACTGCAGTTGGGACCTGGTCATAAATTTGGTGACCTTCTAGCACCCATTCCTTAAACCAGATTGTTGGTCAGTTGGTATCTGGCGACACCCCTTTGATATCCTAGAAAAGGGACTGACTGGATTTAGTATGAGCTCTTGTCTAACATCAACCAAGGAACATCTTAACGGACTTGAGAGCCATAGCAACATTTTTGCTTGGACAATTGGACTCTGCTAAAACCAAGGACTTTGAAAGTATTCTGTTTTCTTAACTCCTTTCAT